TGAGTTAGCGTGAGGTTCGAGCTAGCGAGGGTTCGAGTTATCGAGAGTCGACTGTGTGTGCAAAATAGAAGACGACTAAAACAGATTGCTATTGGGTGTTTTTGAAAAGCGAAGCATGTTCGGTTTTGGTAATTTTTCGACAGCAGGTGATGCTAACTCAAAAAGTTGGCCCAATTTTTCAATTTGCAATTCTTTTCCATCCTGGCTGTCGATAGCGACAGACGCACTTATATTTGACGTGTACAACTGAACCTCCTTTATTATCATTCAAAATATTTTCCCGATTCTGATTGGCTAAAAGCACAGGAATAATTGATGACCAAATTTGGAAGAATTTTAATGCAAGGCCTATTGCCTCAACGGATCGATCTCCATAATTCTTCAAGAGATACTCAGCCTCATTCATTAACTAGCAATTAATGATTGAGGCTGAGTAGGATATGAAGAATAAAGCAGATCGTGGAGGGTGTTATCTACCGAGGCCGAGGGCCGAGGTGGATAACACCCTCCTCGATCTGCTTAATTCTTCATATCCTACGAAAACCGAATTCATTTATTGCTAATTAATGAATGAGGCTGAGTATCTCCTGAAAAATTATTTTTGAATGAATAATAATTATTAATTAAGCGACCACCCTCAATCAAAGTTCCGAAATAATTGTAGCATAGAATGGGAAATTAAACGTCTATTGAGCGGCGGCGGTGGCGGCCATCTTTTGGCCGTCCCAACGAGGCCGGGTTTTCCATTTGTGTCACCTGTATTAAGCGGTGATCAAGGGTTTGATATACACTAAGTTGAGCTTTATTTTTAGAAAAATAATTACGACGAAGGAAAATACAGTCCGAGATAGACGGTGACGACCAATTGTGGACCAGTTGTCTTGTTTCCTTCTCATGTTTGTTTTCAAATAGTGTTTTAAGACAGAATCCACCAGGGAATTCATTTTCTTGGGCTTCCATGCGAAATTTTCTTTGGTGTTGTTACAAATAACTAATTACATCTTTAACCCTTGAAAAATGTAAAAAAGAATGCAATATTCTTTAAATTATTCTGGTACAGGACTTTTGTCCACTGAGAATTACAATTACTCGATTTCCTGCCTTGGATTCCGTCTCAAAGTCTGTAAAGTAACACCAAAAGTTAATGATATAGGGCGTGGTTTAGGATATAAACAACGAAGTGGACTAAGCTGCCCTCATAAAGCCATGTCGCCGATTGAATGACACCTGTAGAAGAGTTATTGCACAAACTGATCACCCGTAGTTAAAGTGACGCTGGTGGTTTACAAATTAACAGGTGTTTGGTGACTCGATAGGGAATCTCCGTGAACTTTTCGGTAACATGGACAATTCCTTTTCTTTCTCGTTGTTTACTTCTAAAAGTAGAAATAGCGTGAAATGTTAATCGTTCGGATTATCCCAGTCGTTGTAAAGATTCAAGGTAAACGAAAAATCAAGCTTAAACGTGAAAACCTCAGCTGGAAAAGACTTTAGTTTTCTAATGTAAATTACGTTTTGTCTTGTGTCTTGCACGTGGGTTTTCACACCCTGTGTGCACCTCCTTTGTCTTCTTGATCAAGAAGGGTGGAGTTTTCAGTTTCAGCTAGCAGCTTCTTTGTGGAGTAACCAGTTCAAATCATATGACATTGTTGTGATGAAGCGCAATTTCTTTTTGATGTATTTTAAACATGTACACTCCTTAGGTGGGCCGGTAATTCCCCACGGCATGTTTTTTAAAGCTGGAATTTTTTCTGTTGTTGAAGTAATTGAAGAGAGCGATTTGTTGCTTATAACCACAGGAGAAAGCGGACGGCTTTCGACAGGGTAATGGATGACAGAGATGATTACTCCAACGGCGAACCGACGAAGATGAAGAAATTAAGCAGGAAACGCCGATCTATGCAGAAAAGACTGATGGGCAGTACAGAATCGCTGGACGGACTGGACGACTTGGCTGCAAGCAGAGCAAGTGAGAGTTAACGTTGTAACTTAACCCTTTAAATCCCAACATCAACATACAAATTCTCTACACTGTTCTTCATACATTTCCTTAAACAGTTGCTTAAGAGAGTTTGATAACAGATCGAAGCATTTCCCCTTTAGTAATCATTAATCCACTTCTCATAACCAACAACAATTTCATAGCTGAATTCTGAAGGACTTACGGCTTCAACTATTTTTCTGAAATTCATTTGGCATACTTTTTATATCAAAAAAAGCTGCTGGCGATAATTTCAGCCAAAAATATCCGCTAAATTTTTCACTAGACGCCATTTGCCTGGAAAAAGTCGGGGCCGTTTAAGCGCTGATTTTTTCTCCAGTACAATCGAAGTATTTCATAATATTGCCGAATAATAGCTTTAGTTTTATAACTAAAATGCTTCTGTAATTGTTTCATTTTCACACTCGATTGACAAACAAGTCGTCCATCTTTCTCAATTGTTAGATTTAGGGTAAATCCCCAGTTATTTCGATTTTACTAACTGAATGTGTTCCCCAGCGTCTGTAAAAGTCTGGAAACCGACACAAACGTATCTTTTACGGCGTTTAGTTTAAAGCCTTAAATGTTCAAATTGTTGATTCCGCGTTTGCACTGTATAGCCTGGTTTTCGTTAGCGAAGTGAGGCTAAAAAAGAAAGCACAAGAGCATGCAACGAGCTCCCCAAGCAAACTTAAGCAAAAGAACAAAAATTAATTATTCTGAGATTTCTGGATGGATGACTTGAATCGGCTACCGGAAAAGCGAATGTCAGGCCACAGTTGCTTAAAATTAGGACACCACTATCTAGTTGGTAATTAACGGGTGGATACATTTGAGGAAAACCTATTGCGTTATCTGCTAGATAGAGATTAATCCATCAGATGAATCTATCCATCTTTTGAACATGAAGCCACGATGCCTTCAGAAACCTGCTATTCGCCATTTTCACATTGCCCATAATACACCTTCCTTGTTTAAACCCAAAATTTTGCACGAGAATTGTCTTCAACTTCTGTTATTCAGTGAAAGCGAAAACCTTGCCTATGCAAAATTTTGAGTGTAAACAAGGTTTGCTTTGGGTAATGTGAAAACACCCCTGTTGGTGTTTTAAAAGTTTTGGACATTCTTTGCTTGAGCTTGCATCGCTATTAAAAATAAAAATAAAAAATTCTTAACGGACTTGTGTGAACAGATCCTACGAAAAATCCCCTGAAGATCGGTACAAGTTTCTCATTAATCAGGCCGTTCATTGTGGAGTGCCGAGGAACTCTTGTTTCCCCCCTCAACCCCCAAGGGACTTGATGCGCTTCTGTTATGACTTAGTATGAGCTGCTTTGCATATGGCATTTAGCGCTCCCTCAACATCCCTCTGTTGGCTTTTTTACTTACAACTTCGTTCGAGGAGAGTCATATGCTGACGTCCTCTCAATCGCTAACTACCCGCGTTTTGACGCCAGGAGTTGCCTTTTAAGTAAAAAAGCCTCCGAGAAGATCTGCCTCTCAACATCTCGTTTACCCCACCTTTCCTCTGCTAGTAGAGCAAACAAAACCACGCAAACGTTGCACTTTTTGAATGTGCTTAGACTTCCAGAGTTATAAAAACAGTTTCCGGCCAGTCCGCTGTTATGGAGTGTTTTAGGGCCCATGTTGCTAGGTAACTTTTGCAACACATTTGCCCAGTATTGATATGTGTTTCTGCACAATATTTTTGAAGGCAGTCTACTTGAGAGCAGTTTTCAAGGCGCTCGATTGGTTAGCAGTATTGGTGATCTAGTAAATTGCGACGTAATCCTAAATCGGCTTTATGTTTATTAGGGCGGCAACCTGTACCAATAGATGACTTTGAAAGACATGTTGACAGAATGCACATGGATGGAGATCATGGATTTTCTGACGAATACGCGGTATGAATAGATATATTTATTTCCAACCTTGAAGACGTAGGCAGCGTGTGACGCAAATAAAGCTAAAGGGACGCTTATTTACAGAGCCCAAAAATGTGACCTCGTTTAATTAATTCACGTTCTTTCATACAGACATTAAGCAGTCAGAAGTCGAGAACAGTTTCTAGCTGACTTCTGATTGGATCAAATCTGCACGAAAGAATGTGAATAAGTCAAAAGCGGTCACACTAGCCTTTTGGGATCCTTGCTGTAAACGAAGTCTAACTTATTAAAGCCACGATTTAACAAATCTTTGGACCTCCATATCTCTTCCTTAGTGGGTTATTTTAAGAAGATAAATGCTTTCTCTAGTCGTGCTTTATATGCTTTCATAAAACTGGTCGCAAAAAATTGTATTTACGTAAAACCGTGGGGCAAATTAAAAATGTCTTAGAACGCGGTTTTGTTAAACACAACTACGTTTAAAGAAATGGCCCAAAACGTTTACACCGCACTTGAAGGCGTTTCTCCCCTTTCCTTTCCTGTCCTTTTTTCTTTCTTTCTTTTCTTCCTTTGTTTGGTTTTTTTTGTTGTTGTTTTGTTTTTGTTTTTTGTTGTTTTTTTTTTTTCGTTCTTTCTTACACTCTTTTTTTTAATGGGAGTTCGCTTTAAATTTAACAAAACACAAATAGGCGGTGAATGTTCAAATTATGTTTTCATTTTTCACCGAATGACATGTTTCTGTTGAAAAACTTTTTGCTTGAACAAAATTGTTCATTTGACAAATAGCGCCGACGAGTCCACAGTTACCACTTACAAACCCTTAAATTCTCTAAGCAGTGAGTACATGCATTAGAATTAAAAAAAAGATGTTAAATCGACTGATGTTAGCTAAGTATCAACTGACTTTGAGGAGAGACAGTCACAACCTTAAATCTGAAAACCTTTGTTTACCTTTCTAAAATGTCTCTCGTTCGAGCTCAATCAACGCTGTAGTTTGTTACATTTAAAACTTGGTTGACCTGTGACACATTGCTGATTCTACGACGGTACTAGGTTGAAACGGGAGCCTCTTTTGACAATTAAAGATCTAACGAAATCCTTTGTTTATTCTTTTGCAGCTTGTTCAACCAGACGAAGACTTTTCGTTTCAACAATTCTTGAATCCCGCCAACAAGTATAAAAACAGATACGCCAATATTGTTGCATGTAGGTGCTGTTTGACAATATTCTATGGAACAGTGTCTGACCTTGGCTAGCTATTATTAGGATATTGCTGTTGAGGTCAATTCTGCGCTGAAGTCATTACTTCGTGCCTTCACCTGACACAAAATGCTCCTGTAAAGATGTGAAGTAGATATCAAACAAATCTTATCAGGGAGCACTAACCATAATAATGTTTTGCTAATTCTTGCAGGCACAGCATTAAAATTTAAGAAAAGTTCCCTTAACTGTTTCAAGTTATCGATGTCCATCCTTGCGATCTGTTACAAAAGACGACTGAAAACATGTCCAGTGGCTAAATACAGGCTCAGATAAAGATAGCAAATAGTGTAACAGAGCCCCATTAAGAAAATGGAGCTGGATAGAAAATCGGTATACCGTATTTCCTCGAATAATAGCCGCCCATCGATTAATAGCCTTCCTCGAATAATCGCCTCGTTTTGACGGAAATGTTTAAACCCCCCCTCCCTCCCCTTCACCCCACCCCACCACCACCACCCCTATAGGTTACCCGCTAGTGATACCCATGGCGGTAAACTTGGAGGATGAAGCTAAAGTGGAGTCTGATCCAGCAAAACTGATCAGTGACGATTCAGGTTCTGACCCCGAGGACGTTAACGTTGAAAATCAATCAGGAACCAAATTTGGAACACTTTAAATGCCAGTGTTCAGTTTATATGACGTGATTATTTTTTTGATTTAATGGAAAATAGAACAAAACCTTTAAGGTACTGCGTCCAGTGAACAATATTTGAAACAGTCGCCTCCCTCGAATAATCGCCCCCTTTTGGTGCGAAAAAAGAAATAATCGCTCTCGGGTAATATTTGAGGAAATACGGTATTCCTACAAACCAAATCAGCCTCTCTTTTGCGCATAATCCGATCAATATTTTGATGTCGTAAATTAGGCCTTGTTGTGAAAGGTTCGCTTATATGTAGACAACGTCTTGCTGTTATAGTCAACACCCTTGTCTGTTTGAACGAAACACTATGAATATTCTCCTATGTGATAATAATTGAATTGAATATTATCTCAACGTATTAAAAAAAGATTTTTAGTATTCACGACGTGCGGAACTTTACGTTCATTGTAACAGGGTTTTTTTTTAGTAGCAAGGTTTGATAAGGTTAAACAAGAGGTAATAAATGTGTCCTGTTTCCTTTGCAAGATGATCATACCAGAGTCCTGTTGAACCCGATCGAAGGTATTGCGGGGTCGGACTACATTAACGCCAACTTCATAGATGTAAGTTGAATAAACACATCTCTCTGTTTTTTAGTTAAAACCAATATAGCGGGTTAGTGATATATTTAGCAGCATGTCTAAATGGCCTGATATGTGGGCATTCGTTGCTGAGTTCCTTAATTTGGTAGATATATCATCCCTGAACTTCCTTAACCGAACAGGAACAACGCGGGCATCAAAAACAACAACACCACCAACAACAACAGCAACAAAAACACACACACAGCAAGAACAAGGGGAATGACCCTTTGAAGAAGTTAAGTTAACCGCGGCCTCTCTAGATGTACCGTATTCGTATCCTGGACATGTACTTGATTTGATATTAAAAAGCTTTAAATTTGAGGGCGAGAACAAGTACGAAATTTAACTTAAAGCTTTTGCGCGTGCTCTAAAAAAAAAAACACCCCAGAGTGCTTCATCTTACTTTTATTTCGCCAAAAAAGTTAGTACGGTTATTTATACTGAAGGATGTTAAGCCCTCTTCCGATAGCAAAATGCGAAAACTTCTTACAGTTGATAACTTGTTCCCGCCACTACGACATTCTCTCTAACAAAGGTAGTAGAATGACGACGGCTATCACGTTCTCCCGCCAAAATGACGCTAGTTCACGAGTGAGCACTACTCTCTTTTGAGAATTAAAATCTTGTACTCGTAGTCGTCGCTCTTTATTTGCGCTTGACAAAAGGCGCTGTAAGTTGCCAAGTATTTTGTCCTGCAGCATGTTGCCACTCTAGGTATTTTAACCCCAACAGGATCAGCCCAGTCGGTAGAGCGCTTCACTGCAGAGCAGGAGGTCGCCGAACCAACACTCAGGGTCTTAAAATAACTGAGAAATGAATGAAGGTACTACAGTACCTTTGTCCTGCAAACAGCTAGATCTTCGCGTGGCTCGGATGACCATGTAAAATGGCGGTCCCGTCTCCAGAAGGAGACGTACTTTAGTGCTAAATACATTGACACTCGAATAAAGTGCTTTTTTTCCCCTTCAATTTACCACGAACAAATTTTATCGTTTTGTTTTAGGGTTACAACCGGCAGAGAGCTTACATAGCTGCACAAGGTACGACATCATGCGCAATGCTCCTAATAACCGTTGATACTACTGCTATTATGCCTAACAACTGTTGATACTACTGCTATTATGATTCACAATGCAATAAATCCTCATACATTTTCCCAAATTGTTTTTTTTGTAGGTCCGTTGATGGAGACATTTGATGACTTCTGGCGCATGATATGGGAGCAAATGTCTTCAGTCATTGTCATGTTGACAAAATTAGAAGAGAGAGGGAGAGTAAGTTTTTTTTTTTTTTTTCTTTTTTGTGCCAATGATATCGTCTGCTATAATCATTAGTGTGTACTGTTTACTATACTGCTGTGTTTTAAAATCCCTCCGTCTGTCACGACTGAATGTAAATTTGTGGTGTAGCGAAGATTAGTGTAATAAACGAATGCCCTACCAACTTTATGATATAACCATTCTGTAGAGAGGTTATCTATTTTTAAGGAAGTGATGAAGACAATTATTTTTTGGTAGAGAACCCACCAGGCAGAAACTTGGTAGTCTGTTATATATCACCCCTTGCGTTAAATGATTCTACCGTGTTTGAATTGGCTTCTCGGGTAAAAGCGATCTCTAAATTCAGCTATTCGCACCCCTGTTGGTCAAAAGCTGGACAACACTATCTAGTAGATGGATCTGCTAGACGGATATTAATCAGGTGATTTTGGAGCCACGATGCCCTCAGAAAGCTCCATTTGCAGTTTCTCTGTCTCTGTAGTTCACCCTGTTTACCCCTAAAGTAAAATGAATCTGACGTGTTTATTTCGCCTTCACTCTTTTAAAAGTAGAACTCTTGAAGTACCGTAAAGTTCCGAAAGTAACGACCCTCGTTATTTTCGAATTTAGCCCCTTCTGCTATCGCTACTTTCGGAGGCTTCTTCTTTCGGATGGCCAAGACGAGTACTCCACATGGGCACTTCAAAAAATAAAATCGCAAAAAATTGTGGAAGGAATACTTTTTGGAAAATGTTAATGTATATCCTGTACGTTAAGAGGTATGAATAGGAATGTAAAATAATCATTATTAATAAACCTCGGATCACTGTGGCACTTGTTCAGGATATCTGTCATATCCGTTATTTTTTTGCAAAAAGGGAAATTAGTTTTGAGGTCTCTACTTTCAGAGGGCCGTTATTTCCGGGGGAGATCGCTACTTTCGGGATTTGCTAACACCTGAGACATTTTATCACTAGTTTCGGAAGGTTCGCTACTTTCGAGGGGTCGTTACTTTCGGAACTTTAAGGTATCGATTTTCATTGCAAAGCGGTTATTAATTTAAGGTATTCCCACTGCCTATGAGTGACATTAGTACGATTTATTCTCTTCCTTAGCGAAAGTGCGACCAGTACTGGCCTGAACGAGGAATGAAGAATTATGGCCCAATACAAGTCACCTTAAAAGAAACTCTCAACATGTCCCATTATACTTTGAGAAAATTTATCATAACACACAAACTGGTAAGCTGCTTAATGCTTCTTGGTTTTCTAAAAATTTCTTTAGGTTTATGATCATCACACCTATTCCCCTTTGGCAAGCAGAGAGACACAGTGGAATAACTTATGTTTTGAATTCTAAATAAACCATTGTATTTTGTCACCCCTTTGTTCCGCCCTTGTTCAAAAGGATGCGGTAATTATAAAGGCCTATTCTTTATGTGGACAACACGATTACCTTTGTGCATTGTATGCACAAACATAAATTGTTGTATGTGTCCGCAAGCTTATAAAGTACTCATGCATGCAACTGACATATATGCCGTATTTACTCGAATATAGAGAATACTTCATGGAAAGTGCTGGCGTACGGTATTTACACACGAGTTGTTGACGTATCAGAAATCGAACGAGTGAGCGCAGCGAACGAGTGAGATTTCTGATACAAAAACAACGAGTGCGTAAATACCGTACAAAGCAC